GGTATGGTGCGTTGTGGTGGTGTGGTGCGAGCGTGCGCCTGGCTTGTCAAGGCACACATGGCACACACAACGCGTTCATTTTGCTCAACGAGGGATCTCTATGGGTGTGTGCAACGACGAAGTTAAACGGTCGACGTGGCTGTGTCACGAAACGTTGATTCTAGTGGCAATGGGCCAATGATCGGGCTCAAGTCATCTCGCTCGTTTCAGTGCCATCGTAGCATCTGGACAGCCCGAATGATTGCACAAATAGAGTGACCTCATAACAAGAGCTCAGGACCCTAAGCAAGAGGATGCGCTCGATGTCATTCGGCGCACTGTTCCGATCTCGCGGGGATTAGTCGTGTGGAGCCGGTCATGATCGGTACCTTGAGAGAAGAAGCAAAGAAAGCATTGGTATCACTCATTATTGTGAGGTGAGCGATTGGTAGGACTTTGTACGTTCTCCTCTCGCGCCGTTTTAATTGGTGGGTTATTTTTAAATATCTCTCAAGGTTGGCGGCGCGACTTGTTGATCGATCGACAAGCGTGTATCCAAAGTTTCGCTAATCATTCCCTTATTTCTTTTTTGTGGTCATCTTTTTTCCTCTTCAGAAATGTGTCGGCCCACTGTCCTGGTGTGAGGAGATGGTGTTGAAGAAACGGAAATTATCAACGAGAGCAAGGTCCCAGAGTCAGACCCTGGGGCTTAACGCATTGAGCTAAGTGGCACCGCTAGCTCAGGATCGATCGATAACATTGACCATGGCGTCGGCCAAAAGGACCTTCAAGACCAGGGCTGAGTAGAGGAAACATTCATGAGCCCGCTAGCTTCGAACTCAAGAACAAGAGAAGAGGACCCCAATTAATACAAAGATCCATTAGATGTACAAAACAAATGGTAATAGCGTCAACGTATTGATTGGTGTGCGGCAGAGCCGCACTCTTGGACACTAACGCGAAGGGCTTCGAATGGACAAGATATGTTTTGGATGTATGCAAGGTGAGAGTGATGGTTTGTGCTTTTGCTCTCTCTTTCTTTTCCGTTCTTGGGTAGTGCGTCAAGTGAAAGCGGCTTCACTTAGGAATGGTTGGAAATGCGCCTCGAGGAGAAGTGAAAATGCCGGCCCTCGTCTTTTCTTCCCATCCCGAATGTGGGCGGTTCTAGACCTACCACCTCTGCGGCTTCTCCATCGTGATTAAAATTTTCGCGCTTTTCCTCCCTGGGTTTCCCGCTGGTTGTGCATCATCATGTCTGCTGGTTCGTTGGGTTCGCCGAAGGCTGGGCGCAGGGATCATAGTTCTGGTGGAGACGATACTGCTGGGGTGATAACGTCACAGGTTCTAGTGTTTGTCTTGGCCTTTCAGGCCATCCATAGAGATGTTGGCTACGTCGCGCTTTTTCTTCCTCCTTGGGGATAGGGCTTCTCCTTCCACTATTAATGGCCCACAACACACACTTCGAGACTCCCGTTGGCTATGTTCTGCCTGGGGGTGCATGTGGAGATGGGCCGAGTTGGAGAAGCTAACCTTCTCTAGATGATTTCGGGGCCTAGATGAGGACTGGACAACATGAGCATCTTGTTCGTAGGGGGAGTGGTTGACCCATGCCCGCTTTTTAGCTCTGGCCATCTCGGAATTCTTGCTGGCCACCTTTGGGGTTGGTGCCGTTTTTGGATTTTGTTTATTAGAATCAATTCTTCAGCGCGGATCTCGACCTATTTCCTGCCAAGGTATCCGTCAAGACGAAAAGTTAGCTAAAGGGTAGGCGAGAAAGCCCAAAAGTCAATACACATAGTTAGCAGAAAGCGCAATTTCGAGGGTACCCGAACGTAGATGGGGCTAGGCAAACGTGGGGTTGGTTGGAGCTACGTTGCGTTCCGCGCGACAACCGGAAAGGAAACCAGGGAGACATGGGGATTGGAAGAGAGAGAAGTGAGGGGAGATCATGACAGAAGCGAGCCCTAATCAAGCGGTGGCTGGTGAGGAAGGAACGAGATGTACATGGCGGATGGTGAGGAAGGGACCTGGGTGTTGGGCCGAGAAAACACAGAGGCGGAACCTGCGGGTTGTATGCAGTGGTTCTCGACCCGGAGACGCACGGCGGCGTGACTTATTCTGGTCCCAGCATCGATGTACCCGGCTTGCCTCAGTATCACGCTACATTGAAAAGAGATGGGCGGGAAAAGAAATCCACAGCGAAGAGCGACAGGCAAGAAAACTCGCTAGCTACTGCCCCATGTCCGAGGGACGACTCGTAGGGCTGGGTGAGCAAAAGGCATCGTGAAATGCCCACCCGTCTTGTTCCTCCCACAGAATGCCGCTGCTTGCTTTGTGGTTCTCGTTGCAGCTCTTTTGTCTGTTTTCGTGTCCCACGGCATCTCCAAGGTGGGCGAGAAGACGCAGAACCCACCGGAGGACCCATAGGTCCACCAAGGTCGTCGGTCCAGCCCAGGAGTGTCCCCGGTTCCGCCGCTTACACCCGAGCGACGTTGCTGCGTCAAGGCATGAGCGGATCGCTGGCTGGGGACATACCAGTGGACCAGAACTCAGCCATGTCGACCGCTTCACGAGGTATGCAGTAGTGAATGGTAGACGCCACCGTGGGTGGTCGATGACACTAGGTGGGTTCGAATGCAATTAAGCACTGGCAGCGCCGCCAGTCATAATGATGCGTGAAGGAGCTGGCCAGTCAAACCAGCGTGACTTCTTCGTCCTATTCTAGGCCCCCGTCCCCCCTCCTCTCCATTTGGACTGCGAGGTAACTGACCCCATGCAAATCAGCCATCGGTTGCTGGCCCCCTCCCCTGCTCCCTCGCCTCTCTTTTCCAGTGACGGAATAAATGGGGTTGGAAGGGTATGTGTGGTTCGTCGCCCCAAGCGGTAAAATTCTCCTTTGCTGCTCCGCCTCGATGCTTTTATTTTTGTTCGTCCAGTCATGTCCTCTTCACGAGTGGATATTGACCCTTCTGTCTTGGCGTCGTTGTTTTCTGCGGTCCCCTTGGGATAATATTTTCGCTCGTCACACCTAGTACTTGGCTGCACCCGCACTGTCGGTTTGCGCTTCCCTTCCCTACCTTTCCGGAATCTGGCTTCGATGGTGCTATTGCCGATTTCTGCTTTTGCTCTTTGGAGAGTTTGAAGGAAAGGGTGTGTGGTGTGTAGACTTTACACCGCCCCGCCACCTCGCTTTTCACTGACCTCCTGTCTCGCATGGATTGGTGTTGGAATGTATGTATGATGTATGTCTGTGTGCATGTGTGGAGGGAAGTATTTCGAGGTCATCGAGTGCAAGGCCCGCCTTTCTTCGCCAACCCACGCCCGCGGCATTCGGACCGCGGGAGGGGGCGGGCGTCTGTTGATGGGGTTTCAGAAAGGCGCGTGCCATCAATGGTTGGGACTACGAGTAACCGCTACAAAGTACACTCTCAGAGGGGAGGGGCTTTCCTTATCCTCTCGCTCGGTTCTGTTTCTTGTCTCTCCTTCATTTTTGGGGGTTCCTCAATTCGCTTGATTAGGGAGCTGAGGGCTTTGGGGGAACAGAAGAGCGTGAGGAGACTGGGATGTCGGTGAAGAAGCTTCGCAGCCCGAGCATCTCTCTCCCCGCTTCATGCGGACATCCATGCCATGGTGACGTTGGTATGGTTTGCAGGCACGGCGAACCGATTTTCGCCGAGGCACCAGAGAGATGGCTCGATTGGAGCATTGGGGCATGGTAGATGCCCTCTGCGAAGCTGAGTGGCTCAGGTATTCTTAGGTGTGAAGGCCCTCGGTTGGTGGCATTGGCTTGTTCTCCTCTTGGGCTTCGTCTGGTACCATTAGGGAAGTATTGTAACCATTTTAACCACTGGTCACCTCTTGGCTGAACTGATCTCTGCTTTTGCTCCTCTTGGTGAAGAAGGGCACGAGGTACCTTCCTCGCTTGAACCCAACAGCCCTTGATTGCCTGCAAGACTGTCCACAACGTCTATTGGAGCCAGTCCTCTGACGCTGGGCTTCGGCTCAGCCGGTGGTGACATGCCACGCTGCACGCACGAGACTTGTTCCTCGCCTCCTCGTTCCCCAGAGGCCGGGGTTTGACACCAACCCCAAGGTTAAGCTCCCAGTTTAGTTCGGGCCAGGCATCTGGCAAAAATAGAAACCTTGCCTGAATTATCATCAGCTCGACGAACGAGGTTAAAAAAAAAAGCTAGCCAGCCATCCACTGAGATGGTGCCGTTGTCATGATGGGGCCCTTGGACGGTAAGTCGCAGTGGGCTGAGCTCCCAGGTACCGACCGTTCATCCAACCCCTTGGTTTCTCTTTTAATGCCATTCTCCGTATACGGGGATGATCAAGCCCGTAAACGCGAATCGGCGGCATGACCTTAATGGAATAATACAATTGATGCTATCTTCTTTCGACCTCCTGGTTCTTTTTAGCTCCCTCCTCGCGTCCCAAAAATAAAACAGACACTGATCCTGTTTGGTTGATACGGGTGGGTTAGGTGTTATCGGTAAGCGTGCCCCTGGCTGGAGAGGGCGGGAAAAAGGGAACAAAAGAGTCCAGCCAGCCAGACGGCCTAGAAGCCCAGGGTCGAAGACCCCGAGCAGGGAGGAATACCCGTCGCGGGCCTCCACTCGCATTGCTGAGTGTGGATCAACTTGCGAGCACTGGCCGGCCTGCCAAGGGGAGAGGGAGAGGTGGGAATTTGTTTACCCATGCTGGAAAATGGACGGACCCGTTAGGAGGAGCTGGCGGCACATGGCCAGGCCATGCTTCGGGTAACAGGTCCTGAACTGGCATGTCATCAGAAAACCCCCTCCGATAGGACCCATGATGCATTCTCCTTCTTTGTCAAACGATACGCTCCCAAGGCTCCTAGCCTAGGGGGCAGGGTAGGGTATCGGCCACCAGGCAAAACGGGCTTCAGGTCACTCTTGGGCTCGATCCAATGGGGTAACCTAGGCACAACCCATACGAAATCCCCGTGCTTTGTAGAGAACATGGCTCTGCTTCTGCTGCTGCTTCTGCTTCTGCTTCTACTTCTGCTGCTGCTGCTGCTGCTGCTGCTGCTGCTGCTGCTGCCGAGACTGCTGGTGGTGCTGCACGCTGCTCCACGCGCGGATAATGCAACCTCGGGCGAGCCAAGCAATATGGTTGATGGGACTAAAAGGACAAATGAGACGGGTCGAGAGTACTTGTAGGTTAAGGTAGAGGCGGAAGCGAGAGAGACAGACGGCGGAAATGCCCTCTCGATGGGGACTACTTGGTGCAATCACAAGCAGCCCACCATTTTCGGGTTGGAGGGGAGAAAAAGGTTGAATCATAGTAGTGTAAATGTAAACCATCACAGGGGCTTTCCCCACCCAAATCCCAAATGCCCTTGCTCTATAATAGGAAGCATAGCACGCAGAGAAGGCAAGGGAGACAGACAAGAGACCACTATTTCCCTTCGCACTTTTCGGCCACACGGTGCCGGTTGCTCGCGGGCGAGCCAGGGCTCGGTCTCGGCCTCATGCCCATTTCTTAACGGCGGGGGCAACATGCACATGGACATGGACGAGAAACGGAGAGAAAGTGGAGCAGGCCTGAAGGGAGGGGGTGTGGGTTTCTGGGTGTGTGGGACTTCGCCTTAGCCCTGGTGAAGGGGGGAGGGGGTGCGCCTGGGAACATCTGTGGTTTACAGCACTACATATTAACCTGGGGCCCATGCCTCATTCAGCCCTTTCTTCTTTCCCTTCCCCTCTCCTCTCACCAAGACAACATCCAACAATCGCTCAAACGCTCCCCGCCCACATTCGCTCCCCCAAACCAACCTTTCTGAGGAAGTCCTCGTCGACTCCTGTCATTCGCTTGAATAAACCAAATCCCTTTTTCTTTGTAAAGTGCGTGTGTGTGCGTGTTGCGTGAAGCTTCCCCTCCTCTTCTCTCTCCAACCAACAGAATTTCGAATACTGCCCCCGAAACCAAGACACTCAAAGATCGAACCACAAACCAACCTCGAAACGTGCAAGATCCCCGACGGCAAAGAATTTCTACTCTTCCGAACTACAGATCTCAGCTCATCATCGGAACGCCCTAGAACAAGACAAGGAAACTCTCTACGCAGGAAACCCTTTCGACAGATCGTCAAAGGACAAACATAAAGACTACGACTACGATCGACCTGCAAACCCTGTATATCTCGCCTGTTGTAGTAGTACCGAACTCGGTATTATTGCTTCACGGAAATCCTCAAAGTAGGAGCAGAAGGGAACTCGGGCCCTTTTGAACCCCAATCAGATCGCCTCGTTTCTCCCTCCGAAATGCTTCGGTGACCAAGTCTTTTAGACAACCATTTTCATAACACCCACACTCGCTTTATCGGATTTCAACCGGAACTCTGTTTTCAGACAACCCTTGAATCCACCCTACGATCGCTACAGTTGCACTTGAAAGAAAAAGAAAAAGGAAAAATAGGAAAAGAAAAAAGTTTACGGAAGAGCTCCCTAGAAACACAAACCTTGTAATAATCAACAAAGTGGAAGTAAGATCCGAAAGATACGCAACAGGTCAAGCCTAGCGCCCGCTAAAGGTCTTGATTAATTTTGAACTCACGACGGTCCGGTCCATTGTCGTGCGTTCCAACTTCGCTTCGTCCCAAATCCCAATCCTCCCCTAGGTCCCCAGATATTCGAAATGGCTGGTCCCGGCGGCGGTCCCCCTCGTCGAAGCCACACCAAGTCTCGCAAGGGCTGTGACACTTGGTACGTTTCCGTCTTGTTTGCGTTTCTTGAATTATGAATTTTCTGCTAACACTTGGACTACAGCAAGCGCCGGCACATCCGATGTGACGAGCTTCCCCAGTGCCGCAACTGCACCAAGCACAAGATCCGATGTCCCTACAACGACATGCCCGTTCCGGAGAATCGTGCTGCGAGCCCCGACAAGCCTGATCTCATGTGGACTCCTCAGATTGAGGCCGACATTGAGCAGTGGCAGAGGACGGGTGTCTTCCCTTTCCCCAACCTCAACATCTACCCTGCTCCTTCTCCTCAGGCTTACAGCCTGGAGGAGTTGCGTCTCATTCATCATGTCGCCTCCATCTGCAGTGAACTCGACACGATCGACGCCAACAACTTCACCATCTGGACCCGTCAAATGCCCATGTAAGTCGAGAAATGTTTTCCAAACTGGAGTGACCCCCAAAACAATAACTGACTCGATCTTCGTGGCGTCGCTTCAGCATCCTCCAAGTCGGTGCTACCAACCGATATGTCATGCACTCTTTGTTGGCCTTCTCTGCCATGCACATTGCCTTCCTCACGGATTGCCCTCTCGTCGGCAACATGGCTTATGAGCACCGCGGTATCGCCCTCAAGGGCCTGCAGGAGGCTATCGGGTCCTTTTCTCGTGAGACGTCGGACGCTGTTCTCGCTGCTTCTCTCGTCCTTTCGTGGCAGGCCACGGATTGGTATGGATGACTCCTTTGTAATCTCGTCTCGGTTCTGCTGGCTAACAGTAAATTCCCATGCAGGCGCAGCTGGACCCAGCTCATGCAAGGAACCTCTTCGGTAAGCCCGGCCTTGAATCATTGATACCTACCTACATTTCATTCTCTCCTTTTTGGATTTGTTTGTTAACCTAAAAGCACAGGTTATTGATGCTATGGAGCCCTGGAAGCACGAATCCAGGTTCGGCGATTTCATCGCTGAGAGCAGCACCTTCCCAACCGCTCCTCCATCGCCCACTCCTGACCACAAGCCTAACCAGCCAAGCAAGGAAGACATTGATGCGTACCAGCGAACTCTGCAGCAACTCCAAAAGGTTGAGACGTACCTCAAGCAAGGCAAGCACGACTTCAAGTCGATCCAGCAGCTCATCACCTTCCTCAAGGGCTCTCGCAAGGTCAGCCCTACTCTCTCCGTCGCCCAGCAGTTTGAGAGGCTGCGACCCTTGAGGACGTGGTTGTTTTGGCTTCCGGTGAAGTACCTCCAGGATTCGCGCGGGTCGGCTACCTCGCTTGTGACCATTGCCCACTACTACACAGTGGCTTTGCTCATGGAGCGCCTCTTCCCCGAGATTGGTGCTGCCTACTTTGGGAGCCTCACCCTCGGGCCGGTCGAGGACATTGCCCGCGCACTGCTGGCCATGACTAACGCCGACGACGGCTCCAAGGAGGCACAAACCCCACTGACGCTGATGGAGTTCCCCATCGAGACAGTCAACGAGTTCCGCTCCAGGATGGGATGGATGCACCCGGCCCGTACGCCCTCGTTTCCTCAGTTCAACCCTCCCAACTTCTACCTGGACGAGGCCCCCGTTGCCATCCCTCCTGTCTCGGGACCGTACCTGCCTTATGGAAGCCCGGCCTTCAGCTACAGCACCGAGTCGCTTCCCATGCTCACCACTGAGGCGGCCGGCGCCACGGCAACCAGTAGCGCGGCTGTGAGCCCGTTGATGCTGTCGTCGTCGTCGTTCAACAACCAGCAGTATCTGAACATTCCCTCTCCATCATATGCAGCTGGTGGTCTCAGCCCTGCCTCGTCCACCTTTGAGGGCTCCTTCACGTACAGCGATACGGAGGACTACGGAACCTATGAGTTCAACGCAATGCCACCCGTCTACGGCGGATCGAGCGGCAGCAATCTTGGCGTCGGGTTTGTCACTCCCATCTATCAAGCCGTGTGGATCTAAGTCCTAGATTGTCGAAATCTAGGACGGTGGCCCACGTACCAACGGACTCTCCTCTCCCACTTCTTGACTTGGCTCGGTTTGGGATAATAATAACATGTGGTTGACCAGAACCGTTCAGGATGCCTACTACGCCAACTTTTGCAGCGGTGGACGATATGACGGCTTCCTACCGGTTGTCGTTTAGCGCCAATTCGCCGTTCCTCCTTCCGGATTTTCCGGGGATGATTCCTCTGCCCGACTCGCCTCTGCCCCTGCCCGACGACTCTCCTCAGCAATTTCAACACTCGCACCCGCACCCGCACCCGCACCCGCACCAGCACCCACACCAGCACCAACGGAGCTCGTCGGATTCCATGGTTCGGTTCAACCGAACCGGACCGGTGCCGTGATGCTGACTTGAGGAAGGGGCTTCTTCTCACTGCCATTTTCCGCCCTCGCGGACTACGGACCATGGACCTCATTGTTGCGACCTTTGCTCACTTTCTTCTTTTACGGCTTGTTCGTTTGGATCTTGCTTCTAGCGTTTGTCTTATTCTTTTTTTCTTCGCCTTGCTCTTGATTAGCCCTCGTCTCTTTGGGCTTCTTCCGTTCCGTTTTCCTGGTTTATTCTCGGCATTAATACTGCTCACCCCCTCTCCTCCCCCGCAACCAAGCTCTTTTCCGCTTTTTCGACTTTGGATACACAGACACAGATGCAGACGACGCTCCTTAAACGACCCAATAATTTTTCTCTCCCCGACACTCCTTTGACAGGCCTTTTATACTGGATATAAAACAGACACTTTCCCGAGGACGACACAGCTTCTTTCCTCGCATCCCCCACGAGCTGGGGCTGGCACTCGATGACACTCCTTTTACACAACTATAAACGGCTTGTTTTATGAACGAAATTACACACCACTACGGTTACAACTTAATGTGAACTACCTAATTAATTATTGCCAACTACCGACATTCCTTAACGACGATATATATATACCCGCGAGACGGATTACGCTCCTTTGTACTGGACCATTCCCGGACATGATACCCAACTTATAGACCACACTCCTTTTTTGTCATCATTTGGTTCTCTCGGAACCCGGACTGGTTTTAGTCTTTTTCTCGCTTTTCGGCTTCACTGGGTCTTGACGATTTTCACGAACGAAACCTTGCACTCTCATCCTGCCCACTCTCCCCCATCACCCTCACCTCATCCCTCTCCAGACCATGTCTACCCCTCGGCTCATGTACACTCCTTGCGGATTAGACCAGGGTCGTTGAAACCCTTGGACATCCGACCTGCATGGCTACTGTTTTGGTTTTTATTTTGCATCTTGAAAACCTCTTCACTTGTCATCTTGTGTGTGTGTGCGTGGGCGCTCACGTGGTGTAGATGCTGGTATCTGCTGTTCTTGTTTTCTCTTTTTTGTCACGCAAGGCAAATTGCTTATCTGTTGCTGGAGTTTACGCCCTGAGGAAAATGCATCACAACCGGCGTTTAATGTTTATGCTTTTGTTTTCGCTTGCTTTTACTGTTTACTTGCGCGTGTTTTGTGCACAGAGCTGGGACACGTTGGCTTTGTTAATCTTGTTTGCGATGGCCTGAATACGCAAATGGTTTCTTGTTTATCTTGGGATATAGCGTTCAAACAACGCTCTTGGAGGAACATAATATGTTTGGTTTGGCCTGCAAGCACGCGCCTGGAATCTTGGGGAGTGGGTGGACGCGGTGCTCGAGTTTAGCCAGGCCTTGGCTCCTTGGGCTCCTCGCCACATCTTCCTCGATGATTCTTAGGCCGCAAACCATGGCCTATTGTCGATTGATTTTTGGTTTCTTTTTGGATATGCTTGGTAACATGGGAGGAATACTTAGCAAGTTGATAGCATTGAAGCGCGGGGCCCAGGGTGTGACAATGCCACACGCCCTCCAAAGCGGCCCTTTTGATCCCTGTACTCTGCTCCTCATTCGTCATGCTGTGCTGTGCTGAGCTGTGCTGTGCCCTGTGAATCCGTGAACCCATCAAGCACGAAGTAAATATTGGATGAGACGAGAAATGACGGCTTGTCCCGCTGTCATGCGCGGAGAGTGTTTGCCTTGGTGATCCATGGCGTGGCTGAGTCTGGCCAGTGCCCAGGTACGGCAAACGCCCCACCAACTATAACTGCCTTGCGAGGGCGAGAGCAACAATCAATCTTCCTTCCACACACTAGCCATGACACTATTCCACTATTCCACTAGTGGGGACTGGAGAGTTTACTTGACAGGTTCACTGCCATCTGCCTTGTACTTGTAATAGTCTACGACATTCGACCTGGATCAGCTAGCAGACGAGGATGTAAACATTGAAGGGTCCGACGAAGGAGCCCTGGGATTTAAGCGGGGAAGGAATTTGGAGGCCACTCTTTTCAGGGGAGGTGATGAGGGGGACTTCCCACATACCGTCGAACTGGGACCATTTCGTGGAGAGAAGAAAAGAAACGAAAAAAATGAAGGAAAAAAGCTCGAGGATTCTAATAATTGCTAAATTTAGATGGTTGGCCAGGGTTTGAGCGGCACTGTTTGGCGTGGACAAAGGGAACCACCGCCACCCCTGGCGCTCGTGGAATACGAGGTTTTCCCCTTCATTCACCACGCTTCCCTCCCCCGTTTTGAGGAGCATTTCGCGCCCGCCCCCCGCCCTTCCAAAGAGGTTGGGTCGAGTTTTTGGGGGTTTTTGGGGGAAGGCAGGTTGGCAAGGAACAAGGGAGATGGAACAGGCAAGACACACTCCACTTGGCTAGCCCAAGTACAAGTATTCCGATCATGCTTTTGAAGGGGGTTTCTCTGTTTCCCTCTCGCGTCGATGAGGTTTTTGTATCATTGCCTCGGGGCATGGGGACGGAGCGTTGTAACTGTACTCGGTGGGATGCTGGAAGCGAGAGTAAAGCTGAAGTGCAAAGGATACCTGGAAGTGTCTGATTCCCCTTCTCTCTACCCTTTTTTCTCCTCCTCTCCCTTTGCACGTCTCGAGGTGTTTGCTCCCACCTATCTTCGTCTCAGACTTGCCTGTCCCCTCACTATAGAAAGGCCAGACGGATAAGTTCTTCCGGGGACGAGGGGACGAGGGGACGATCCTCGCTTAAAAGAATGGGGGAACCATTCTTGGAGTTCCGTTATCAGAGTCTGCCCTCTTGGGGGCAGGTTGTGACGTTGATCCTGTTGGCCTGGGTTCTTGACATGGAGGGGGTGTGTGAACAGGAGCCGAAGCAGAAGAGAGGCATTATTCTGAGAAGTCGACAGCAGAGGGCCAAGAAGTGGTGGCAGCGCTGCCTGAAGCTTTGCCGATGCTCGCAACGGCAGACAAAGTAGTAATAGTGTATCATGGGCCAGCCTGAGGCAAGAGGCGAACATGGGGGTGGTCTGATCAGATGGAGATGGGTTCGGCCAAGCGGTCAGTGGCACGCACGCTATGGACGCTTTGATATCTCCACCCCCTCTCTTCCTTTCTGCCCCCTCTTCCGTCACTGGTCCGTTTTTCTTTTTGTTCGTGCTGAGATGGCCGAGAACTCGTGTCGGGACACCGTCCCCGTCCAAGGGCGAGAGGAGATATGGGAGAGGGAGAGAAGGGGGCGCTGGGGCCGCTGTGAGGACGAGTAGCCCAGAGAGCGTGGCGAGATAACGGGGAGTAATAGCGTGGTGAGGTAGAGATGACGGCGGGCAGAGTGGCTTTCCCAGGCCAGAGCCGCCTGTCCTGAGCGGTGGTATTGCTAGCACAAGTAGTACTATCTAGTATCTTAGTGTAGTAGTAGCTCCCTGAAAGAAGTGGGTGGCGAGCCAGCTAGGGGAGGGGGGACTACTGCTTTGCCCACTCTGCCATGATTTACGAGGAGATCGGGTGCTGCCCTTTGGAGGGCGAACAGGAGACGGGATCTCGTGTCCTGAGAAGTGGCCCTTTTGAGGGTCATCGTCTGCGACAGCAGAGGCTCTGCGGCCTCCTACCCAGGCCATTTGACAAAGTGCGTAGATCGCGCCTATCATTCTCCGTGCTGAAGCGGAGAAGCGCGAGCTCGTCGACCTCGAGAGGGACTAGGAGTTGCGAGGCAGGACGCTGAGCGTGAAGATGTAGATCGAAAATCACCAGACACAAGTGAATCAGAGACACGTCCCTGCTTCCCCTTCTCCTTCTCCCTCTTTCCTCCTCCTCCTTCACGCTCTCGCTCTACCCTCCGCCGTCTCTATCTCCCTACCTCTCTTTCTTGGCGTTTCCCGCAGACGTAACATGCATCCGCCCTCGAGCGTGGAAACTATCGAGTTGGTCCCGCACGCTCGTGGGGAAGAAGAAATAGACTCTCCATCTCTTGAGCGGCGGCTCTCTACGCCCTCCAAAGCCTTGTACTTTCTCTACATCAAAGTTGGAGACTTTTACCAACACTCGCAAGGTTCGTGAACTGATTCCCCTCATCCCTTCCCGTCTCGAAAGCGGATGGGGCATCCCCCCTTCGCTTGCCTTCAAGACTCGCGTTTCCTCTATGAGATTCAAGATCGAGTATCTGTAGACAATGACGAAGAGAACGAGGCTTGAACGCGGCTTGCTTCGCCTTCCCGCTTTCATCCCTCTGTGATTCCCCGTTTCTTGAAGACTTCCCGGACGGACAAAGACGTGCTAGATATACAAAATCTATGCAACGGATCGTTCTTAGCTAGAGCAGTGCCGAACCGTCGACGAGCATCTCAGCTAGTATACCCTTGCCGTCCCCCCACCGAAGAATGGATTGATATCCCCTCCTCCTTCCATCGCCAAGGCTTCAAACCTCTTGCCGACGACGAAAGCACGACAGAGAGAACGGACAGGTTTCCCTAGCCGCGCCGAACAAGAGTGGTCTAGATCTCGTGGCGTGAAACACACGACGTTGCTAGCCACAAACCTCGACACACCGTACCTCCTCCTATACTCGAGAAAGAAGATGTCGAAACTCAAGACCGTTCCGGCCAAGCAACCCAGGCAGCTGGGGAGAGGGAAAAGACAACCGCTTCTATAGTTTGAACAGTCTTGTTGACGCTCCACTACGTATCACTCAGGGTTTTGTGGCGCCTAATCGATCTTCTTGTTGCTAACGCCGACTCCGAGCCTTCCTTGCTTCCGTTTTCGTACCGAGGAATCCTCGCGTAAAAACTTACACTTTCCGCATTGCTTGGTGATCACGGCCATAAAGGCCGGCCCCTTGAACAAGGGGAAGTTCAAGGGATGGCCGAGCGAGAAGACGCAAGATACCTAGAGAGGGTTACGATGGCCCGGTCGGTTTAATGCCCGGTACACCACTTGAGCCCTAGGGAGCTTGGCATTGGCAAACCTTGAGAGGCTGTTTCCTCTTCAAAAGAAGCCGTTTCGATCCATAGCAGAAGGCATATCCAAGTGCAAAGAAGATAGGATTAGGTTACCTTTTTGGTAAAAAGAAGAAACGGGAGGTGGTCAGGATCAAGAGGGGATGCTAACTGTCCAAGACAATAAAAACCTATAGTAATTGTGATCCGGCTATGTTTGGGGAGGAGAGGAAGACAAGGACGAAGATTAGAAACCTTCATCTCTTACCCACACCAGAATGAATGAGAAAGACCAGAGTGAGCTGATGTTGAGTATAGCTTGAAGGGTTATAAGGCATCCCCTCTCCTAACTGCCTCAAGCCCAGATCATTTGAACTGGTCCAAAGAAGGCAAAGGGGTGTAGGTATGACATAATAGTTGGAGTTACAAGAGGAAGTGGTCTGCATCACTGGGAATGTTGATTGATTGAGGTAAAACAATCCTGGGTCGATCACGAATGCTCGAGCGTGAGTGGATCAACGCACATAGGCTATAAGCTATGCCTGGCTGTCTATATAACCAGGCCAGGCTCACAGCATAACTCGAGTAAAAAGGGAAGAAAAACGAAAAAGAAAGCATTGTTGCCACAGGTTTGTGGTGGGTATAAAAGCATCCTCGCTCCCTCTGTCCTTCTGTTTCCTCCACAGTTCTGTCTTCACCCTATCTTTTCTCTTTCTAGCTCCAAGAGCTTGGACTCACTCGGTGTGGCCCGGAGGGAACAAAGGGAATAAACTAAGGGAAAAACAGGTATGTTTGAGCAAAAAGTAAAAGAAGAAGAAAAACAAACCAAAAATAAGAAAAATAAACAGCCGCCCCAGGAGGCTGGGGGAGATGCGCCCCAAAAGCCTACACTTCCCATAACACGCCGCAAATGATTTGATCCTGTTCAAGACGCCGGCCCATGCGATTCCTGCTGAAGGTCCCGATTCAGGTGGTTGTTGATGCTTTATCTCCTTCTCGCTTTGCTTTGTTTCGATTCTTCCCCGGCTCCCAGACAACCGCCAGCGGCAGACTGCTCGCAATGACACACGCACCCATGATGTGAGAGAGAGAGAGAGGATGGTTTGGGATATTAAGATGAAAGGATGGTTATATCATGAAGTTGAGTTGGATGCGTGATCAATCGGTTCCCTCATCACGCCGAGTGCTCGCTCGACGAGGAAGTGCTATGACTCCTGGGTGTTCTCTGGGTCTCGGGGGCGCGGGGCTGTCCCTTATCGCGTCACTGTAACTAGGAATAGGCGGATGTGGGGGTTCGGACGGACGATGCGCGACGTCCGGAGCTTCCGGGACCGTTGGACGTGGCTAGGGAGCTCTGTCGGCTTCGGTTAATGATTTGGATCAGGGGTGTGTTCTCGCTATCAAGGCTGCTCCGGCGGCTGCCGGATTCCGAGTTGTCTGGGCTCGTGTAGTCGGGCGGGGGTTAAGGGCGTCCTGGAGACCGAGACCGACTGTCTCGTCGTCGTCCGCAACTTCGCTGCCACTGGGGTGATGGGTGACGGCGTCGCTGGGCTCATCAGCCTCTTCCGTGGGGACTAGTTGCGCGAGGGAGATATCGGTAGGCTCCGCGCGGGGCCGGGACTCGTGGGAGGAAGAACACGGAAGGTTCCGCTTCGGGACCTGGTATGCTGAGAGGAGAGGATGTGGCCGGGAGTGACACGGTAGGGGTGAATACCCGAGTGGGTGTTGGCATGAGCCCTCTGGTACCTGGCGGGGCTGGTGCTGGTACCGTAGCTCCCGTCCTTGGACCCGGATTCGAGGAGGATGCTACCCTGTTCCGAGCCGTACGGGGGTGGAGGGGCGAGGCTGCCGGTAACGGGTGCGAGACCCCACTTCTTCACGTTGGCCTCGATAAAGACGAAGCCGGACTGGCCGAGATTGACGTGGACGGTGGCTGGTCCGTTGGCACCAATAGCGGGGAAGAAGTTTTGCGTCTTAAGCCCGTGTGCCACATCCTCCAGCTTCTTGCCGTTCCGGGTGAAGAAGATGGTACCGGTGCGCGGACGGTAGCCAACGCCAATAACGTCGCCCTGCACAATCTCGGGGCCGTACGGGGTAGGGTTGAAGGGTTGGTTATGCCGTCGAACACCGCTCGAGAGATAGGCAACGGACGACTTGTGATAGCCTAGGGACTGCATTAGGCACGTTTCTCAACAAGGACACAAAGGGAGGCAATAAGAATAAGCAAGGGGGAGCAGGAGTACATACCAGGGAGCCTAAAGAGCGGATAAGGTTTGGTAGCCATGCCAATGCTGACAAGAGTGTTGTCAGGCTTATCGTAAATCTTGGCCTCCCAGTAGTAGACGTCGTTTTGCTTGGGAACGGGCAAGTTGCACATGACTGTGCATTCCGAGTCAAAGAATTCGATTTCGGTGCGGGCCTCAACGAAACAATTGGCAATTTCAAGCTCGGGCTCGAACTCCCAAGCGGAAACGCCCTTTCTTGGATCGCAAGGTATTGTGAGAGGGAGATATCGGTCTGAGCCGACTCGGGGGTTGAAATTGATAAAAGCTACAAGAGAGAACAAACGTCAGTCCTAGTTCTCGGCGCAACGTCCAACTCGGCCGCGACTCGATCGTGGCTGCGGGTCGGCTCTCGTGCATGATGTATGGCAAACGCACCTTTGGCCCTCAGATACTCAGTCTTTTGCATTTCATCCATTGTCTCCAAGGCCTCGGCCTCCTCCTTGAGGAATGCCTGCTCATCGTCAAACTCTCCCGGCCTGCCGAGGAAGTCTAGCCACCCCGAACGGGGAGAATATCTGTAGAGGTAGAGGGCGGCAAAGGCCAAGGCGATGAGGATGGCGGATGCAAAGGAACTAAGGACGGCAACAATAATGACACCAACGGTGTCTGACGATGAGGAGCCCATGGCTGCTGTCGTGTATGGCTTCCTTATCGAAAGGATTTTAGGGTGGGTAAATGCGATGTTCGTGATCTTCGTATGACGATTCGAGCGAGAAGAGGCACCACGGGGGTGGTGGAGGAACGCCGACGTCTACGGATAATTCATTCGGGAAGAGGAAAATTCAAGAACAGGCAGGCAGTCTATCGCTCCTTGACCCTCTCTTTATTTCTCGTTCGTGGCTCGAGGGAGGGAAGAGGATCGATACTCGACGTCGCTTCTCCGAAGGACTTTAGGGGCGTGGTGCGATGGGGGTGGGTTGCCGGGGAGAGCCCAAGAGATAAGGGAAGAGCGATACGGCGCAACTAGGGTGGTGGATTGGCCGATTCGATGTTGGAATATTCCGGCCTCCCTAAATCGCAAGACAAGGCGAGAGAAAGGACGGCGGATCAAAAGAAAACGAAGATAAAAAAGGAGACGAGGATGAGTCGTTGGAGGATCGCAAAAATGGGCACACGGTGCCCTTGCCCGAATGGCGGGCGGGGAGCCAGCTGCCACAGCGTCAGGCAAATCGTTCCAGTTCGCCCCCTCGTTCCGCACGCCGACGTTATGATCGTCTCAAGGTTTCGCAGCGGGTTGGTGGAGGCCCGGTCGCTCACTCGCAAGGGAAAAGGGGAGCGAAGAAAAGAGATTTAGGAACAAAAAAGGAACAAAAGAGAGAGAGGAAAAACGGAAGATTGAACAAAAACCCTGGTCTTGAAGGCCTTTGGCGAAGAAGAGTGCACGAAAAAAACGGGGGATATGGAAGGGGAAGAATGAAGCAGAAGATTATGACCCTCTCCGAAACAAAGGGAACTCTCGGCGGCTGCTCCAGCGTCCAAGGTGGCAAAGGCGTGGTGCTTGGTGGAGCGATGTGGGATGTGGGCGAGGGACGGGCTGACGGGCTGAACGGGGATTCGACAAGAGTTGGACCTGGAGGGGAGAGAGTTGAGAAGGGCGGCCTGGGCTCACGCTCTGGGTCCGGTGTGCTGGTATGCTATGCTGACGACAGCGCCCGTTTCGTCGGTGACGACGGCTGGGCAGGGCAGGGCAAAACAGGACTCCAGGCTCCACGACGGACTTGAGCGGGCTGCATACCGTCAAGTACCCATCACCTAAAATTCGTGGTAGAGTACAAAGAAAAGCAGCCGCCCGTCCTACGAATATCCTAACTTTGCAACTGAGCTCTACTCGGAAAGAGCGGGGCCCTCTTTGAGGCCTAGCTTTGCCTTTCGCAGCTTCCCAGACGAACGAATCCCTTGTTTGTATCGGTTCCTCAGCGGGTACTTCGGTACCTTTCGGGGGTTGCTGGTGCGGCGTTTGAAATGTGGTACGTACGTTTGAGGGCTATTATGGGGGACCTGGAGGACTTTGGGTACGGGCCCTCTGAGTCCTTCCTGTTAGGGCGCCACAAGCATTTCCCACTCCTCCGCATAACATGGAGCGCGAGACGCTGGGTACTCGTTACCTTTTAGACTTGGCATTCGTCAACGAGAGCATTACCGTTGCCACCTGATCTCCTCACAAAGACCACTATTACTGTATGGAGCGGAATCTCCATCTCTGTCTCTGCGCCCCTACGTTACGAACCAGCAACACTTCGATGGTTATGGCAGCTTCCCCATAAAACGGATTCCACGGACATGATGGAAATGGGAGAACGTTCATCAAGCCCAGAGGCTGACCAAAACCGTCTAGATGCATCTGCTTTCTCGCATCATAGTTCGCTCTCCCGCCCAACAGGCCATGCATCTTGAGAATGAATCAAATTGATCCATCCGTTGATTACCCCTACCTTCTTTTGTCTTTCTCCGTGGCCCCATAATAATAAAGTCAACATTTGATGAAATGTCCATTGTCGGCCGGGCCGTTCAAAAGGAAGGGGCGGCTATTGGAAACAGCGCAACAACGCCTTCGCAGCTCCATTTGATAATGTACTTTCGGACGTGCGTGCAAGAACAGGTCGACGATCCATGAGAGTGCGTTTTGGCGGGCACCTGTGCGTTTGGCTCGAGCTGCACATCCACGGATCGGGTTTCTAGTTGAATCAGAAGCAACTTCAAAGAGCTCCCGCCAAGCCAACAACAAGGAGTCGGTTCCTGTTCCTCGCACAGCCTGGTTATGCGTGGCTTTTCGCGTTCCTCCCATCCATCCTTCGCCCAGTGTTAACGATACGATAGAACCCAATCCCCCGATCACACTAAAAATACCAACAAATTTCCCCGGGCTCGACCGTATTTCGGGACTTTTTATAAACTCGGAAGCTGGGCAGTTGGAAGGGAAAGTGGTCGTTTAGTCCGTTTCTGAGCCAAGCGTCGATTCTGGGCACCACACTGCAATCTTCGCGGGAGTCAGACAGTCCCTTTAGCGTTTAGTGGCTGCCTAGCCTTGCTCCTTTCATCTCTCGGACACTGAACTCGAAGCTGTTTCATCCCATCCCATCCATTTAAATTCAATCAACGGCACCGAATCTACATAGATAGGTCAGGGCCCCTTCGTCACCCGCATCTCTCCTGACCGATTACTAAACAGTGTCAGCAATCGCAACATCAGCCTCTTGCAGCTAAAACCCATCCCATCGTCCTAGCTCAGTTTGTTCTTCGCATGAGGTTTTGTTTTGTCCCCTTGGCTTACTCCACTCACCAACCGCTCGCAGCCCATTACTCTCCACCAAAAGAGGAAACAGGGCTGTTCATCGGGCATTCTCACATGAAAGACAAGTGAGGGGATGGGGGAAAAGCTAGCTCAAGACCCTAGCACCACCTAGATATGCGCTTGTCCACGTAGTGTAGGAGGCGGCTGAGACCAGAGCCGCTGCACCCACCGATCAATCCATTGAGGCTTGAATAAAGATGCCCGTGGCCCCGTCATCCCAACCCAACGAGTGACTCTGAAACCCCCTTCAAGCCCACCCATCCATTCCATCGGACGGTATTACCACCTGGCTCTCTCGTGCGCCCTCCCCGCACACAAAACAGCGAGGTGAAAGCCTCTTGTGCATGCAACAAGCCAGGCTGTCGCCAAGTCCACCAACACCAAGACCGAGAAGAAAGAGAAAACAAAAGCATGGACAACAAACCACGGCTTGCCTTTGCCTTTCATGCCGGACTTTCCTCTTTGAACCGTGACGAGCTGCACCTTTACACGCTACCGTAAAATCTCCTGCCACGACCCTTGCGCACAAAAGCTATTTGATGACTTGTTTTCCTCGGACTTTCCCGTTTCCATCTTCCTCATTCCCCCGAGCGGCATCGCCCCGACCGCCAAATCCACCCGCTGCCGTTGTGTCGTGTCGTGGCATGCCCCCCTCTTGACCCTGGAAACCTGCAGCCGACGTGCAAACGCCCAGACGCCGTCTCGGGCAGTCCCCTCGACCCAAAGAACCGAACCCTTGTAAGCCATTATCCACGGCGTGCATGCCAACGTCGAGAGATTCTCCCCACCGTCATGTTGAAGTGATTCTGGAGAAGAGAGAGAGGGGGGATTAGGAGAATGGTGTTCGCAACCTCATTCACCACGAAGAACGGAGCACCAGAAAACTGCGAACTTTACTTCAAAAGGTCAAAGACATTGATTGCTATATTCATACCCATGGTTCCTACCAAAGGAACTTCATTTCCCAGTTCTAACTAAATACATTGATCTTGCCCGACATTGACCTGACGTAAACTTGGCCAGTGCAGCAAAAGGAACAGCAGAGGGGGTTCGAAACAAACACAAGAGGCAAAGATAAGTGCAATGAGAAACAAAACGCCCGAGCCATAGAAAGAAAACGTGGGGGGTAAAAACAATCCACAACCGTGAAGAGGGAGAAAAACATGTTGGGAAGGGGGCGCTTAAGCGCTGGCTCCTTGGCTTGACTTCCGAGGGGCCACGAGTTCCAATCTTTCTAATCATAATCATCTTCCATAAACTGATATCCGAACTAATACCGCTGTTCTTGAGAGCGGGGCTTTTCTAAGCCTTCACGCCCTTTAACGCAGCTCTCTATCACTCGGGGAGAGTGAGAGACGAGGGTGAAAAGGGGAGAGACAAAAGTTTGACGAGTGCGTGCTTAAAACGAGTCATGCGTCTGCGTGCGGGTGTGAGGGAGGGAGGGAGGGGGAGAGATAGAGAGTGAGAGAGCCGGAGGGGGAACGAAGCAATGATGCATACTAGAGAAGAGTCTCAAGGTGCTACACCGTCTTAGTGCCCGTCCTCGGTATAATCCTCGTTTCTCGCCCGCCTATATCCACTCCTCGACCTCCGGTTGTCGCTCGCCCGGTGTCTGCTCGGCGGCGGTGCTGCGCTCGACTGGCTCCTCAATTCGGGGATAGGGTGGTGATAGCTCTTGGTCCCCAAGTCGCTGTCCAAATCGCTCGCCGCCCAGCTGCCTGGCATAGACCGGCCTGTCCGCTCTGTCCGCTCCGTTCGCTCGGTCCTCTCAGACCTCTCGGACCTCTCGCTGCGCTCCGTCCTCTCCGTACGCTCGCTTCGGCGACTGCTCCTCGTCACCGCCGACTCGGCAATCTCACTTTCCGCTGCTCGCTGGTAGCTAAAGTCTCTTCGGCTGCGTCTGTTGGTGCTCGGCTCGCCCTCCATAATGGCCTGCCTTCCACGGTCTTGCAGTCGGCGAGCTTCTGCCCGGACACGCTCCCGCTCCCGCTCCCTTTCGCGCTCCGCCGTACGGTCTGCTGTGGAGTAGACCTTGCGGATGCCGCCGGCCGGCTTCTGTGGTGAGTTGGTAGGGGTAGCTTGACGGTTGCTGATGAGGCTTGACACTACGGTGCTCTCCGACGGAATCGTCGAGCCATCCCACTGCGAGCCGTCGCTCTCCTTGTTGAGACCGCCTACTCGCGCAGGTCGCTCGTGACGGTACTTGCGGAGCTCGTCCTCCGCCTGCTTCTCGGCCTGCTCGTCCACCACGACGCCCTCGGCGTCCACGTGCCTCTCGGTCTTCTTCTCCGACTTCTCCTTTTGCGATCGCGCCTTTCTGCCTGCATCTGCTTAATCTTCTTCTCTCGCAGAGCTCGTCGCCTGTCGCGCGCCGAAATGTCGCTCACTCCCGCCGTGATGCCGGATAAGTTCGTGCTCTCTGTGATGACCGTCGTGCCGTCGTCGTCGACAATGTCCTTGTACACACTTCCACCTCCGAGGTTGGTAGGTGCCGTTGCTCCCGAGATGATTGTGCCGTTGGGGCCTCGCCGCCGTAGTACAGTCGATTTGTATTCATCCCAGTCGCCTTCCTTGAACTGGAACCCACCATTCTTGGCCCAGAAGAAGAACCAAATGCCGCCGATGATAAAGGCCACACAGATAGCCCCGAACAGGACGAAGAAGACAGTGTTGTTGATGTCGTGTGGGTTAATCACACCCGCACCAGGTTCGTAGTCGTAACCGCCCGTTTGGGGCGCCCGCGGGACGAGCGTCGATCGTGCCCCCAGAGAGGTGATCATGCTCAGTACTGGAGCCATCGTGTGGGCAGTTCGCTTGAAGTCGTGATATGTTATAAAAAGGTCCTTCGTCGACCCTTTTTCTTCTTCCTAGCAGGGGACCTCCCCTTTTTTCGCTGTGTTTAGTCGAAAAGACTACGGTTGAGTTGATTGCTGTTGATTGCTCGAGTTGTTCGAATACAGAGAGGGCTGGCAAATAAACGAAGGGGTTAAATTCGCAACACCTTGAGAACTTCGTGTTGATGTGCAGTTCGTATGCCCACAATGTTTCGGATAGTGAGACTTGGTGACAAAATAAGAGGGAGAAAACCGTACCGCGTCTCCTCGCTGAGAAAAAAAGGACGTGTTAGGTGAGGAGTAACAAAAGTAAGAAAAAGAAGGCAGGTGCAATGTAGAGAGTCCTACACGGCACGGAACCATCAAACTAATAGAGTTACCTCTTGCCCTGGTTGGGACTCCCTGAACGTGATACCAGTGTTTGGCTGGTTCCTGTAGAAACCAGTGGCTGGGGGCAGTGTGGGCCTCGTGGAGAGGGACAGCTCAAGGATTTGAAGTCCAAGAAATACGACCTCGTTGGCGCTTGCGCCCAGCAGGAGCAACACAAAAGAAAAGACACAAGAAAAAGGCTTATGGGGAGCGATCGAATATCATCAAAGTTTCGCAGTAAAGTAAATCAATTACCAAGAGATATTCTCAAGAATTCCAATTTGAAAACAAAAAATTAGAAATACACCTCGATCATTCCTCACAAGCCCAGTCTCTATTCATCTTTCTCCAACCAATCCCACAATGACGTCGAGAGTAAATAGAGCAACCTTGGTGGCACGGCAACGGTTCAGGTAAACCCCACCTCCAATCAACTCCAAATCACCCAAGGAAGGAATGAGGGGATAAAACAGGCAGCAAAGCTGAGAGAGCCCTGCTTGTCTGTCGCCTTGGTAATTGAAACAGCCTGCAAGATCATCTTCAAGGGGTGTATTCGTTGAGGTATCGTGTATTATAGAAATTATTAAAAAACACTTCATGGATTAGAACAGCATCATAATCATTAATCCAACGAAAGAACACTCCACCCTATTTATACTTGTACAAAATGCCAAAGAGTATAACCCCTCCATCCTAACAACTTCAAGCCACGAGCACCGAGGGAGCTCGGACTAATAACTAGTTCTTCTACAATCATGATGGCCATTGGACCGGTGCAGTAGTAGGAACACGATGTGATATTATGTCGGCGCGTTAGCTGACAGCTAAGACAGTCACCACCAGCCAAGCAGAGAACATCAACTGTCCCAGGCACCGTTTGACAAGATCAAAGGCCGTGTTGGTACTTTCCAGGAATAAGGAAACTCCTCTTTTTCGCTCAAGATACCAATCATTCCCCGATAAGTTGCAGGCCTTGCTGGGGAACAGAAAAAGAAGAGAATAAAAGGAAACAAAAATATTTGCAGAAGGGCCAAAAAAGCCCCTCGGCAACGATTCTCCCCATGTGCACCTCTGTCCCATCAGCCGTCACATCTGGGGGACAAATCCGTAAGGGTAACAATTACCCTCTTGAGTTCCGAGGCACCGCTTAAAGAGGACAGAGCCAGATAACAACCTTGTGCCCATTACTTATGCTGCGTATGAAAACGGGCTTCCTGGCCAAAAAAAAAAAAAAGAAAAAAAAAAGCAGAGGTTGTGGGAGACTGGGGAAAAGGAAAACCAGAGAAGCAGGCCCATGTATCCTCCGGAACAATAGATCTTTTGAACAGCCTTGTCATGATGAGAAATGAACAGACAAACAGAGGAAACGTAAGAAGAAAAAATCCCAAAAAAATCAGACGCGTCCATCACCCAGAAGTAAAAAGGCGAGCATGTCTATCCAAACACAGCGCAACGCCGGACATGAAAAGAGCAACTCGCCCTCCCTGGCCCGCACGATAACGTTGAAAGGCGCCGAGAAACTGAAATGAGGGGTGGACGGGATAAAGTAAGAAATGACTTAAACCACCAAGATTAGCCATCTCTGTTCTCCCGATGCAGTCCTTTTGGGGGTATCGACAGTTTCTGCTCTCAGAACAATGAAAGACGTGAAGACCTCCAAGTAATCGCACAATGGTTGAAGATGAAAACCGAGGGCGAGCTGGTCATCCCAAACATCAAAGGTAAAAGTCAAGAGGAAAAGGAACACGAAGATGAAACCATGAACCGAGAGAGATGAAAAGAAGGGAGAAAAATAAACCAGGGGGAAACAAATATCCCACCCGGCAGAACCCCAAGACGTTCCGTTATATAAATCTCCGGGTTCGCGACAATCAAATACATTTCGCTTGCTTGGTTTGGAGGGCATCGCTCATGACCGAGTAGAAGATTGCTCGGGAAATGATCAAGAGAAGAAAGGTCGAGCTAAGGAAAGAAGAATAGAGAAAAGAAAGCGTGATAATTGGAGGAGCAAAAACCAGAGAGAGAGCTCTTTTTATCTGTAGCAAGTCGCATAAAAAGAGAAAAGAAGGGGGGCTTAGCCAGAGGTAGCTGGAGGCGACGCCTACATGTAGGATCTGGAGGGCAACAAACGAAGGACAGCGAGTTGAAAGCCAAAAATCAAGTCGTCGGAGCCGTCATTGTCTCATCAGTATCGCTTACCAGACCCTATCATAGTCGTACGTCTCGTAAACTGGCTGGTTCCGCGAATAGGCCGACTGGCTGATGGCCCTGCTGCGGCTAGGCAACCTCTCGATGCGAGATTTCCGATCGTCATAGGCTGTGCTTCCCTTGTCGCTATCTATCAAGCGGGCCTGGGGATGCGACGGTCGCGATGAGATGCTGATGGCGCTGCCGTCCTGGCACTCAATCTTGGTGCCCGAGACTTCAACGACGGCATGGCCCTTTACCCTGATGGTGACATCTTCCTCTCCGATGGACCGTGTGGTGCGCGTCGTGTTAGAATGCCGCCACTCGCTCTCGTCATGGCTGCTGCTACTGCGGGTCGACCTGCTGCTGCCACCTTGGCTGCGCCTTGTAGCCTTCTGCAGCGCGTCCTTGGTAAGAGCCTGCGTCTGGCCCGCAACGGAATCTTGATAGACACCAGCTTTGATGAGCTGCTCATTGACTTTGTCGCTATAGCCATACTCATAATCGAGATCATCAACGTCGACTCCGCCGCCGTAGAGCGAGTTGGGCCGGGATCTGACCTCACGCGGGCCTTGCAGCTGCAGCGTCTCCGGGGGTATCATTGACATGCGCCTTGTCCTCGGTTGCGAGCTGCTGAATTCACCGGACCGACGGGACAAGTCCCGTGGGGGATATCCCTGGGAGGGGAGGTCTCGATATGCGAGACTTTCGCCCGCAAACGACTCGTCATCATAACCCCGCGTTTTGTGCGTTTGGGGGAGGCGCCCTGAGTACAATGGGCCGCGTGGACTGTGGTCGTGGGGGTGGTGGCATGGCTGCACGATCCTGCGAATCGCGGTCCTTCCCACCAATCTTGACCGAAGGCTTCCGGCCGACCCGAGGCATGCTTTCCTCATCTTCAAGGTCGTCGTAATACGACGGTCGACGCGGCTGTCGGATGCCGATGGCTGAGGCCGGCCGGGATGGCTGAAAGCGTTGCCTTAGGTGTTCTTGATGATGAGGGTCCATGTAACCGCTGTCGACTGGCGAGGGTGGCGGCAGGGGCGGATGTAAAGGGTTCATAGGGCCCGAGTGTCCACCGTAGGATGAGCCATATGACGAGGCATACGGCTGGGGGTGGGGGTGGGTACCCGGTGAGAGACGGGGTGTACGGCGAGGTGGAAAAGGGCTGCGAGGCATAGAAACCAGCGTTCGAGGGGGCGGGTGAGACTTGGTGCCATGGTAGCTCAAGGAGCGGCCACTACCTGCGCCGGCTATGGGGACGCCTCCGCCATAGTTTGCTGTGTGAGAGCGAAACCTCTGGTTCGTACTTGCTCCTTGGACACCATAGTATTCCGACTCGTGTGTCTTTTTCGAAAATGTGAGGGCGGGTGATGTTTTAGCTGTCTTGGCAGCAGGACGAATAGCCACGTTCTTCTTGCTCGGATTCCGTTGATGGGCCTTGTCACGTTCCCGATCCCGATCCCGATCTCGTTCCCGTTCTCGCTCTCTGTCTCTCTCTCGCTCGCGGTCCTTGTCCTTGATCTTGACCCTAGGATCCCTCTCTCTCCGCCGGGGAGATTGGATCGTCTCATCCGAGTCTGTATGCCCATATGCGTGAGGGGATATTGAGCTAGACCGCCGGGTCTTCTTGCTGTTTGCCTTGGTAGGGCTGGCGGCAACGGAAGCCGCTACTCTGGTACCCTCTTGGATATGTCCGTCGTGGTCCACGTCCTCCATATAGGCTACCCTAGCGCCAGCCATGATAAAAGTATCCGAGGTCAAGGGCGGAAGGGATAGTGGTGGCTCAAGGAGGGGTTGAGTTAGCCCTCGTGGACGGGGTGCGTGAGGCTAGTGAGCCTCCTGGAGAGGCAGGCGGGCAGGTACGGAAACCAGGCTTGTCGGGGTTCGGATGGGTTCGGGAGATTATAAGTGGATGAATGATGTCGATGTGTGATGGCTCATCTAGGGTGACGAGAAGATGATTCGGCTGGGAATGTACAAGAATCAGGAAGAGTCAGGTGGAAAGTACAGAGTCAACGAGTTAAGACGAGGAGGAGTCGGGTCCTGTTCGATGCAAAGCGCTAGAATGAAGTCGTGCTGGCGAAAACCAGAAAACCAGAAGAGAAGAGAAAAAAAAGTAAAAAAGTAAGATACAGCCCAATAGAATAAAACCGAAAGAACAAAAGACGAGAAGAGTAGATATTAGATAAAGAGCTCAAGGAACCAGTGCCTCTGAGCCAGTCGTGGTGAGGGGATCTTCCGTCTCTTTGGGAAGGAGATCCAATGTATGGGGTATGGAGGATTGAAGAAGCTGAGTGTTGGTGGTAGAGAAAGGGAAAGAAGAAAGCTGGGGGCGGATATTTTTAATAAGGTATATGGAAAGTGGTGGCACATTGCCAATGACACTGGTCCGCAGGATGGCGTAGTGCCACTCGGATTGGTCTCGCTCGTTCCTCAGTCGCAGACGCTCCAGCTGTTCTCGAGGCGGATGCAAAAATAGTGGAGGGCAATGCACGAATGCAGAGAGAGGAGGGGAGGGGAGCGGATTCGGGCGGGGGTGTCTAGGAGGGCTGACAGATAATAGGACAGATTCGTGCCATCCCGTCGATGGGATACAAGGTACAGAGCAACCATGAGGGTACGGAGGACTGAGTTGGGGAAGGAGCAAGGGTGGGCGGGTGTGGACTTGCAACAGAAGTACAGCGTTGTTTACCGGCTGATGCCGTGTGGTGACTGACGAGTGGTTCTGGAGTGTTCTGCCAGGTTGGTCAGTGAGCGCTCACAGCCCACGGCTGGGGTATCATGTACACGTCTCGATGGTATCGAGAGTGCGACCGTTTTGGGGATGCGCGGACTGGGGTCGATCGTCCATGGTGCTCGAATCCGCCCATCTCCCTTTGTATCCCTGCCAGCAATCGCTACTAGATCGCACATCAAAAAGTCGAAAAGGGGCCATCCTTGTCTTCGATTTGAGGGGGAGAGCAGTATTGGCTGTGGAAGTCCTGATGCGTTCCTTGAAAATTACAACTCCTCACGAGATACTGTCCCGGGGCGCCATGGAAACCCATTCTCTTGCTTTTTGTCTTTCTTCTTATTCCTCGCCTTCTTCTTCCATTTCCTAGTGTATAGTGCGTTGGTCTCACCCCGGTGTAGGTGAAGCCTGATCATCAAATTTTGCTCTTCATCAGACCGGTTGGGGTGTGGCCGGCCACCAGAGAGAAATCAGAAAAATCATAGGCCCCGAGATCGATGGAGACTGGGCTGGCACCTCATGTTAGGCGTAGAAGGTGGAGGAAGGGGTGGGGTGCCATCATCTGTCGGCTGGCATCAGAGAGTGTGGGGGTCGTATTATCAGCACCCTGGTGGATTGGCGACTGTGGCCAGCCAGCCTGAGGGTGGCCAGTAAGTGGTACCATATCGCCCGTCTCACGACAGATCAGATCAATCCCAGGATATTCGAGAAAGCAATGGACTTCTCGGGGGTTGAAAGCAGGTAAATGGCTCGGTGTCAATCGCAAGAGCACGTTTTAAGACTCGTTCAAACTTAGTTTGTAATGTGTCAGCCTCCTGAACTCATCATGTCCATTCAGTGTTCAATGTTCCTGTTCAAGACTATTCTAGGCCAGGAACGCCAGCAGCCATTGGGTTTCCGTAGCCCCATTTCCCAAAACCCGCCCCTGGCTCCAACGGGACATCAAATCACGGACCAAGTATCTGACACTAACGCCAGATACACTCGAGAGGGAAGGGGTGGGAAAAACGAGAACTTAGTTAACATGTACTAACCTCCATGTCAGCTGTTATTCTCGACGACGGGCGTTGTCAGAGGGAAGCCGACTCTGGAAAATGTCTCGGAAGCGGAGGTTGATCAAGCAACCAGCGGGCGGATAGGGTGCCTGCGAGATAATAAGATAAAAGCCCGTATTAATACCTCTATGCACTTGGCGCTTGCAGGCTCAATTATGCCGTGGTGAAGAAAGGCCATTATTGACCTTATGTCAGCGGCCACGAATGAGCACCTTCTGGTGATGCTAGATTTGAGCGGCTCCGGACCCAGGAGACCACCACCCGCCTAGGTTAACTCAAATTATCCTTGAACGTGCTCTTCACGCCGGACAAAGATGGGGGCGAGGTTTGCCGTTTGGCCTTGGAGATGCATCAATGATAATCTCGAACCTGGAGTGGGGTATCCTTGCACGACGGTGGTAGGCCAAGTTTGGTCTATGTCGAAGAACCTTCAATACAGCATGAGGTGCTAACAAGAAAAACGGGCTTCATCAACACCAGCCACTGACGCTTCGTGCCCTCCGCTGTCCTGGAATCCTCGGAACATGGCCCACTGGTCAGTCAAGGCTGGCCTAGCCCCTCCCGAGGTTCCCTGTTGCCCTCGCAGAGTGGGAGCGCATTCAAACTTAGTGGTTCCTGATGCGCCATGTCACCCCGTCCCTGTGCGGTTCCCCACAGTTGGGCCTCAAAGCTCTGAGCCTGAGAACCATCATCTTTCGCCGGACGCTTGATTACCACTGACCGAGCCCTCAACGTATAGCCACGCCTCTTGCCTTGGTGTTTGTATTTGACTGTGTCATCAATACATGAAGCGATACCTTTCAAAGATAAATAGACCAGCCATCAATGGCCATAATCCTTGGAAGATTGGATCAGAGTTCTGGACACCGGGCACCGACAATTGGACGCTTTTTGTTCACTGCTTACGTATACACAGCACTGCAGGACAAGCGTCGAAAGCGAGAAAATCCCCATGCAGGTGGAGTGGTGGAACGGGTGTGGCCACAGGCTCTCTCTCCCATCATACAACATTGAAGTACACTGGCGCCCCATCTCCGCCTCTTCGAGCACGCCTGGCAGGGGGTTCCGCCACTCTTGATAGCATTTAGCAGAGACGTATTAGTGTCCCCTTCCTCTGCGCCCACTCGGTCGTGGACGGAATTGGGTGAGCAAGATAAACGATCAATGCAGCAGGAGTAGAGCCACGCCTCATACCCGAGACTGTGGGTTGTAAAGAACGCAATGTTGGGTACCAAGGAGAAACCTTGGGGCTAATGGAAGGAGAATAACAAAAAGCAAAGATTCAAACTCCTCATGGGAGGGCTTCCGTCATAGGAGAGTGGATCTATCCTGGATGTTTCATCACTGATGGCCAGAGTCGAGAGGCGGGCTGGGATGGCTTCATCTGTTTAAACGGATTTGATGAAGAGAAAGCCGAGCATCTGCCTTTGCTCAACAAAAGGAGAGCGTAAATAGTCGCTGTATTTTCCTAGCCTTTGGACAAGGAAAGTACATGTAATTTATATATATCCATTATACATTGATTGCAATACAATAACGAGGTTCGAACCTTCCTGGCGATCCTTAGCTGCGCATTCAAACAGCATCGGGACCAAGACCCAGCCACCAAGCTTCAGCGTGGAGAGGGTAGACTCAAAGAGCATCTCGTGCCCATGTGACTAGAAAGAAGTGGGATTCGGGTCGTGTCTAGAGCGTCAGAGGAATTCTTGAGGCATGGACGGTACATCTGTTCCATTGTCTCCTAGCCACTGTGGTTTTTTGTGGCTTCAAGAATGGGTACAGCTGGCAGAGTGGCCCAACGGGGGTTCTCCATTTCCGCATGTATATTGGCTGAGGTCTGCGCGGCGAGTTGGGCAGAACCGCCACGACACCAGGTTTGTGCCCGACGTCCGTTTCCCGAAACTGTAGGTCTTTTGGGTACCAACCTCAACATTTGAAAGATTCCCACACGCTGCGGAATTCAAGAGGCCATCAATTGATCAGCCAAAAAGATGATGCCAATGTATCGTGCGCTTGCTTCTTTCGTCCTTGCCGTTTCTTGTCTCGGTATGCTTACAAACCCGAGCTGACCCCTCCGGAATCGTGAAGCAAACAGCGAAACCTCCGAGAAGGAGAATGGGTATAACGGGACCGTATGATATCCCCCCGTGTCTTCCAGTTTCCGTCCAAATCTCCCGAGCTTGGTGCAGCGCAGTGTTCAAACCCCAGGACGGTTATCGAGCCAAAGTCTCGAGAGAAAAAGAAAAAGAAAGGGAAAAAGAATCAACCCCAGA